CAGTGTGTGGTATGAGATGAAGAAATTATTGGAAAGGGAACATAGCCATAGGACTTCACTTCCCCTGGCCATACAAACCCTTCCACAAATGTTCATCAGCGTCTTTACTAGACAAGGGTCCGGAATTAGACAATGATGATTTTTATGAGCCTATGCATATCATTCAGGCAGATAAATCATAGAATTTAAAGCCAAAAGCAACCATTAGGTAATTTAGGCCATCATAGGCCATCTGGGCTAGGGACAGAAGTTACACATTAACCAGTTTAAGTAATCAGAAACTGATTTCAACCTGTAACAGTGCAGAAGCTCAGTGCACACATACCAGTTTCAAAATGGCTGGAACTAGTTTAAGATAAACCTGATTGAATGTAGTATCAGACTTAGCTGATTTGGGTCAAACCAGTTTATGAAACTTCTGTCTGAGACCCCTGCCTGGTTTAAGTTAAATCAGAGTCCCCTGACATGATTTCCAGCCCTAGGCTGGGCTGTTGTGTCTGCTCCAGCAAAGAAGGGTTTGGGGACAGGAGAGAGGCAGAGACTGTCCCCCTCAGGTAAACCCTGGCTAAGGTGTGGGGTCAGGGAGGGGTGTAAACCCTGCCTTGAGTACAGAGCTGCCCTGCTAAACTTACTGAAAGTTATTGCTGGCTGTGACTGTGGACTAGAAATCCCAGAGGCACCTGGAAGCAGAAAGAAGTGATGAGCAACCGTAGAGAGTCCTGCTTCTGTGATGCTGGACTGCAAATCCCAGAGATCTTAGGGGCAGCAGGAAGAGGAAATGCCAGAGAGCTGCGGTCTAGCACCTGCCAGCTTTGGCCCCAGCCACTGCAGACATGTGCTTGCATTTCCTGAATCAAAGATAAATGTGTGTCCAGTTGTTTCTCAGTTTAATCTTTGCAGCTTAGACTAATGTGTAAAGACTGAATCAATTCACCCTCAGGCTTTTTGACTGTCTGTACTTAGCCCTGGAGTACTGTGTACAGTTCTGGTTATCCATCTTCAGAAAAGATTAATTTAAACTTGAACAGGTGCAAAGAAGAGCTATGAAGATATTTAGGGGGATGGAGTCTGTTTTACAAGAGGAGACTAAAACAAAAATTGGTTTGTGTTGTCTACCAAAAGGAGGGGATACGATTTCTGTCTGTAAATATATCAGGGAACGGGTAAACACCAAGGAAAGTGAACATCAAGATGAAGGTGAATGTTGACATGCAAACAAATTGGTCTGAACTGGCTGTGAATAGAATCAAGCTAATTTCTGGATGCCTGGAGAGCCCTGCAGGTGTGATGAGACAGCTCTGTGGGCTGAAGTTCAAGCATCCTTGAACTATATAGACAAGGTAAATAGGGTGAAGGACAGGAGCACTATAAAGAGTTAATGCTAACCTGATTAATACAGCCTTCTCTGGCTGCTGTGCATATAAATCTTACCATCTCCACCCTGAGATGAGAATTAAAAAAAAATCAGCCATTGTAAATTTGTCGAGCATAGGAGTGGCCAAGGCGGGGCTTGATTGGCCCCTTTGATTCTGTAAAGCATTTGAGAAAGATGCTGTCATTGGATAAGTCACTGTCATGTTTTCATACCCACCCTTGAGAGCTGGCAGTCACAAGGAAGATGGGAGAAAAGCTCATGAGCAGCTTACACCCACTTGACTACACTTTTCAGTGTTTTAATGAAAATATCCTTCCCTACCTGCTCTGCTAAGCACTCCTATCTGTCTCCTCTGGTAAGTCAGCATGTGTGCCTCTTTCCTCTTGCTTGCAAGAGCTTGCTCTCTGTTCCTTAGGTGCCAATCTGGTTTCATTTATGAGAGCTACAGCACATTGCATTATCTTCATTTAAATTATGTAAAGCTGGAAAGTTACATAGTCACATGCATAGGTGATAGCAGGTTAAGGCCTTGAATGACAGGCAAGATACTTGTAGCTCATTTGTTTACCTGAGTCAGGTTGATTTGAAGTGATGACATACATTTCCTGACAGAAGTTAGTTAAGCACCTGCCCAAGCTTAATGAAGCATGATGACCTTGTCTATTTAATAGTCACGGTGACAAACTGATAACCTGCTTCCCATGGGGGCTTGAATGAGGAAGGAAGATGTTTGAGAACTACCCAAAAGGGGAGGCTCACAGTGCACTGGGATCAGATTCCCAAATACCACCCCTCCACCCCCACTCCCTGCGTTCTGTGCTCTTTTTAGGGCATGGACAAATTTACTTTAAGAGGAAGGGGAGCTGCTGTTAAGGAGGACACATCAGCTGTTATGATCTAAGTATTATACCTGCATTATCCTGTAGGGTACAAATGGGCAATGTTCCTTTGACCCCGCATGAGGCAGAGTTAATGTTGTCAGGGTGGTTTTGCTATGCTTGTATCACTGCAGATCATGCAGATGTAACAGTTGCATTGTGACAGCTTTATATTGGTCTCCTTTGATATTGCTACAGTTGTTACATCGGTCTGTACCCTTAAAACATTATTTTATGCTCTGTGAAGAGTTTGGTTATGCAGCTCAGGCATGTTCCATGTAGCATTTTCCAGTGGTGCAGCATAAAATGAGTTTACACTGCCTACCAGAAGTAAGTCTGCTTATGGGGGCTTGTCATAGGGATGGTGGAGCCAAGATCTGCTACACCTGAGTGTGAATTAGAATAGCCTTCTTCCTGCCCTAATTTGGATTACTGTGAGAGAACCTCTATTGATATAATCAACTACAGTGACATCCAATGGGCTAGAGCAGGAGTCAGCAACATACGGCCCATGGAGCCACTAGATCCAGCCTGTGAAGCAGGAGGGCTTTTCCTGTGCCTGGGCTAGACAGCAAAGAACTGCACTGTCACTGATTTTCCTGGCCCCAGCTGCGATGGAGGCATAGTTTCCACCTGGTGGGGAGTTGTGCTGGAGCTGGGCAGCTTCCAGCTGTACCTGTGCTGCAGCTGCAATGTGAGGGGCAGCACCCACATAGTTCTCCACTGGCTGGATGCCTGGGGAGCTGGAAGCTGCTCCCATGTCTCATCTGGAGAACAAGGGATGAAGAGAAGCAGTGGCAGTACCAGCATGACTCCCAGCTGCCTGGTCCTGGCACGGGTACAAGGAAAATCTCCCCCCTACCCGTGTCTCAGCTGCAGAAGTGCTGCCAAAGCCACCCAGCCATCGTTGGACCAGAGCTAGGTTGTTCTGGCCCACATTTACAGAGGTTGCTGACCGCTGGGCTAGATTATCATCACCATGGTTTAATGGATTTATTGGTTTAGCAGATGTGAAATGTGAGTGCTAATTCTAGCTTTACTACTGGCCTCCTGTGCAGCTTTTGGCAAATCACTCAATCTAACCATGCCTCAGTTCCCCATTTGTAAAATGAAGATAATACTTTCTTTCTCCAATCCTTTTTGTCATTTGGCCTCTCTAAATTGTAAGATGGGTGTGATTGTCTCCCACTATAAGAATGCACTGATTTTTTTTAAGTTTTCCCATTCTGAGTGTGCTGTGGCAGATTTCTGAAACCATGAATGTGATGTGGCCATAATACTTGAAGTCTGGTCACAAGCAGCTGACATAATTATCTGATGTGTCTGGTCATTCTTAAATAGATTCTCATATAGTTTGCTGAAGGCAAAAAAATCTGAATCTCTGATCTTTTGAAAACATAGTTTAGGATAGCGTTTATTGTAAGACATAAATACTGTTCTTTATAAGTATCATCAAAGAAATGTTATGCTTTCCAGTACTATTTATTTTAGTAGTTTTTTCCAGTTTCCTTTCCTCACCTTGTTCCTCACATCAGACTTTTATTTAGAACTTTTTGAATATACTGCATGTGTGCCTAGTGCTCACTTCTCCTAGCAGATGTGAAGTCATTAGAGCTTTCCATGCCTTCGTTCAGTACCCCTGAAATCAATGGGTTTATGCAGGTTGTACTGAGTGCATTAAAATTGCCCCCTGAACTTTTTAACAAGGCAGCAGTAAAAACTATTAAGCTGTATTCAGGATCTTGGCTTTCAAAAGCCTATGTATTCTCTAGTGGCAAGCTGGAGGTAAAACATTCAGTGTGTGATTCACCACGTCTCCTGCTTTTGCTATGGTTGTTGCTGCTGGGGGGAGAAAGAGGGAGGGGGTTCATACTAGGTAGAGTTATTTCCATTTCAATTCTGTGTTCATATCTTTGATCTGGAGCAGAGCTGGTACTTATTCTTCCAAGTGCAGAGGGAATATAATCTTTTTTTTTCAAATGTAAAGTACAAATATAATGAATTGAATAAACAGATTTTAAGAAGGAAAAGCTTGTGTGTGTGTGTGTGTGTATGTATGTATGTATGTGTGTGTG